ACAACATTGTCAACTTATTTACTAAGACTGTATTACTATTCTTCTTCTCAAACTTCCTATTACCTATCTCCTCCCACTTATGACTGTAACCTTGTTGCTTGTATCTTTATGATTTATATGGTTTTATTTAGTTTCCTAGTATGATTTGATTGCTTATTTAGTATCCTATGACTCACTAAGTGTTATGATTCTTGATGAATGTATTTTTTTCATGTACACTGAGAGCTTATGCACCAAAGACAAATTCTTTGTGTGTCCAAGCACACTTAGCCAATAAAGTATTCTATTCTATTCTATTCTATTGTATTCTATTCTATTCTGTTCTGTTCTGTTCTGTTCTGTTCTGCTCTGCTCTGCTCTGCTCTGTTCTATTCTACTGTTCTGTTCTGTTCTGTTCTATTCATTTTCTACTCTACTCTACAGTACTCTATTCTACTCTATTGCTATTCTATCCTATTGTATTCTATTCTATGATCCAAACCAAGTATTTACTTTCACAAAGGGTGCAAGAACATATCAGAAGCGTTCTAGCTGTGAGGAGTATAGAAAATACCAAAATGGGAACCCCTATAAGTATAGATATCAACATTTAAGCCCAGATTAACACAGCTAGTATGTGCAAGCAGGCATCACATCAAATCCAGCCAATTTTCTCTTCTTACCTGAGCTACCTGTGCAGCAGAGAAAGCTGCATATTGCTCTTAAACTGATGTCAGAATAAGGCACTGATTGTATTACTCTGATCGGATTTAACAATACAGGCGATCCTCAGCTTACCTATTTATTCGCTTACTTATATTTCACCGTTATTATTTTTCCAAATAACTCAAGGTGTCAGGATTCTGGCACTTAACCCCATTTAAATCATGATTCACAAGCCATTCTTCCAAAACTTCAAAAGGATTTATTGGGAGTTAACATGTCTGGCACTGCCTGGGTGTAGCCGACTCTGAGACACATCATTCATTGTCACCCTTGACCATGGTTTTCCCCTCCACCCACCCACCCCCGGGTGTATCATAATTCATATTCTCCAATGGGACACATCCCTAGTCAAGAGTCATCAATCATGTTCTCAAGTTAGAATTTTGCAGTGGCAGAAACTTCGGTCACCTAGAAACTATCTTTGAAAACATTTATGGAATGCAAGCTGCCACACTGCTTCCCCCTCTCTTTCTGTTGGCAACTCTAAAAAGACCACAGAAATATTTTATGAGTTGACAACTCAATTAACAACTGTCTTTCCCAGGAACTAACTTATCAGGGTCCACTTATTTTAATATGGAGCAATGGGGTTAAGATTCCATAATCCTAGCTGCCTTGGATAGATTTACATGGAAAAACTACAGGGTAAGCAGAGGTGGCATTCAGCCGGTTCTGACAGGTTCTGGAGAACCAGTAGCAGAAATTTTGAGTAGTTCGGAGAACCAGTAAATACCACCTCAGGTTGGCTCCGCCTCCATCTATTCTCCACCCCCCGAGTCCCAGCTGATTGGCTGGGTCTTCTTTGGTTGCCCTGCACAGGAGAACAGAGCTGGAAAACAGGTTAGTGGAGTGGAGAGGGAAGGGGGATTTTGCACTATCCTTCTCCTGCCATGCCCATCAAGCCATGTCCACCAAGCCACAGCACACCCACCAAGCCACATCCACAGAACCGGTAGTAAAAAAAATTTTGAATGCCACCACTGGGGGTAAGGGGTGTCTGTTGGACGATCTCACCAAATCGTATGTAAAAACAATCACTGCGGCGTAATCATCCCTGATCATTAGCCTGCAATAAATCCCCTCATTTGAAAAATACTAGCAGAAATGGAAGGCAGAGATCGTGCACGTGTTTGCAAAATAGATGTTAACCTTCGGAAGAAGCGGTGATTAAAGAATTGTTAAATGTTGTGACACAAAGGCTGGGAAAACCACAGGGAAAGAAAACTTCCGCCACAGAAACCTTTTCTTACCTCAATCAGCTTCCTTTCATAAGAATTTGCGCGTTCCTCATTGTTTTCCACTTGCTTTTGTTCGGGAATAGAAAATTCACTATCTGCGTTCCAAAGATTTGGCAAGACTAGAAGCAAAATAAAACACAGGCTGCCGTCAGTAAAGAGCGATCGGTTTCATTCCCAGATATTTCCTTAGATAAATCCATTCGACCCAGATCATTTTTACCGTTAGAAATGCCCCAACGCAATTCGTCATTCCGAGCCCAACGTTGTATGCTCAAAATATTCTGAGTAATGTTTTCTAGCATTATCTGCCACAGGGTGGAGGAATCCATGGTCATGGTAATGATCAGTTCCCATCATCCTCACCCAGAACCAGGGGTGGGCTACTGGGAGTTCGGGAGAGCCCCTAGCTAAGACTCTGTGGGGCTCAGAGAGCCCCCAATAACCTCAGAAAGAGAAGCAGCAAGAGAAAGCTCTGAATAGGCTTAACTGAACTTCTGGGCATTGAGCCAAGAGCATTTCACACCTGGTAAAAGTGCTGCAAGCTAGATAAACAATCCACTCAGCGCTTGCGAGGGAGAGCCATTGAGAAAATCAGATAGCATAGCCACTCGCCTCCAAGGGGATTAATTCCCAGATAATAAGAATCACATAACTCACCAGAAACTCCACTAAGACTCCAAGATTCCCTCTCAAAGTCACGGCTATTAAGCCTGATTTCACCCAGTCTTTTGTTTAAGTATTAAATGCACGAAATAATAAACAACTTTTTGGTATATTATCTTTTTTTAGGTAATTAGGGCAAAGAAGCAATGTTGAGTTGGCCACACCCACCCAGTCACATGACCACCCAGTCACATGACCACCCAGCCACGCAGAGAGCCCATAAAATATCCTGGAAAAGATGGTAATGGTATGTGGGAATGGCCTTGGGAGACAGGAGGAAGAGTTACAGTCTAGACAACTTATCCTTCAAAGCTAGTTAGGAACAGGGTTGATTAAGGGACTCTGGATTCCCCATTGATTGACTCATCAGAAAGTCGGAAAAGGGGAATCGCATGACTTTGGGATGGTGAAGCCGTCATAAATACAACTCGGTTGCCAAGCGTCTGAATTTTGATCACATGCTCCCGGCCAGGGATGCTGCAACGGTCGTAAATGTGAAAAAGAGACATCAGTTTCTTTTGTCAGTGCCGTTTAACTTTGTACCGTCACTAAATGAACCATCATAAGTCAAGAAACTATCTGTATTGAAATATTGTGACTTTGGAAATCGGAACGGACCTTCCAGAGTCGTAAAAGAATCCGAGAAGTGTCTTCCTTTTCGAGTTGAACTAAGCCAAAAGAAACAGCAGGAGTGCTAAAAAAAAAATTCAGTTTGCTTAACCGAGACCAACAATAACAACAACCATCGCAACAAAAATCCCACCCCTTTTGCTATAGCTTAAAGCAATGAACTCAGTGGTGGCTGTGCTTAACAGTATATTATGCGCTTAACCAGATTGCTGAATTAACCCATTTTCCGGGCTTACACAGCTCGTCAAATCATACTTCCACCAAATGGCCTAGATTCACACAAGACAGCAATTCACACGCACAAAACTGAGAGCTGAAGTTAAAACTAATCACATTCAGTGTGGTCTTTTTGGTCATGGTTGTGTATTCTGTGAAGACAGGCACTCGATTGTGCATTCGATTTTTATTCTGTTTGGGGGGGGGGATCATAAAACAAAGGAGAGAAAATATACTGATTAATGAAAGATAAAACGACAATGTGGAGCCCTAAATAGCCCTGCTTGCTACTGGCAACCTTAAACCGGCAGCTCAATATTTCAGATAAAACAGCGCTTAAGCAGCGAGCGATGAAATTGCTTACATGTCTCTCTCTCAAAAAAAAAATGGAGCGAACTGAAGCCCCAGATAGAGAATTTCTCATCTCCACCCCCAGAGATAAGAAATGCCTAGAACTTTTGTAAACATTTGTAGGCCTTAAAACCTGCTTCAATCACATCAACTCTGAACGTGTCAAAATCCCTAAATCCATCACTTGGGATGAAACCCTGCCAAGAGGAATGCTTGGCTTCATGAAGAACGTCAATAATAAACTTAATGAAGATAATCAAATAATAAAAATTAAATCATCATAATCCCTCCCTCTTCCTTCCATGCCTTCTCCTCCCTCCACCTTCCTTCCATGCTTCCATCCTTCCTTCTTTGAATATCTAGTTAGATTTCCTTCCTTCCTTGTTTCCTTCTTCCCTTCCTCCCTCCCTCCCCCTCCCTCCCTCCCTCCCTCCCCCCTCCCCCCTTCCTTCCTCTTTGAATATCTATAGCCAGATTTCCTTCCTTCCTTCTTTCCTTCATCCCTCCCTACATCTTCCTTCTTCCTCCCTCCCTCCTTCTTCCATCTCCCTTCCTTCCTTCTTGGAATATTTATAGCTAGATTCTTTCCTTCCTTCTTTTCTTCCTTCCTCCCTCCCTCCATCTCCCTTCCTTCCTCTCTCCCTCCTTCCTCCATCTCTCTTCCTCCCTCCCTCCCCCCCCCATCTTCCTCCCTTCCTTCTTTGAATATCTATAGTTAGATCTCTTTCCTTCCTTCTTTCCTTCCTTCATCCCTCCCTCCCTCCCTTTCCAAACAAAGCAGCCATCTACTTTTTTCTTCTTCTTTTAGGTATGTCTATGGATCTCTTGGATCCATTCTTGTAACAAAGTTTGAGGGCCAAAACATTCTTCGTCAGCAGGCCAAGTATAGGTATTAAATCCAAACCAGGACAATATACAGATTATTCACTCTCGGGCTACCTGTGTCAGCCTCACAGGGTTAAATAGCTAGGAATCACACACCAATGAGCCAATTCCACTTTAGTATAAGGCTACATTGGCAGAATCTTGCAAGTTTGGAAGGACAGTTCTTTCCCTGCCTCCTTTGTAGCTCAGGAAACTAGGGATGGTCCCTCCTGATCCTCTTTCTCCACCCATTGATGCAGCTGCGGGCTGCATGGTCTCTTCTCTCCCCGTTCCCTTGGCAGCATCTTTTCGCTCAGTCTCCCAAGGTCTTTCTCACATGTCACGACAATCTGGAAGCTTCGTTACCTCATCGTACATTGAAACTCAATTTAAAACTGTACTAAAAAAAAAACAGAAGGAAGGCAGTGCCAAACGTAAGCAAATGTACTTTGCTTTGCAGCTGCTTGTTTGGTTCCAAGCCAAATCAAGCTGGGTGAAGTTTTCAGTAGGAAGCATTGACAGTTAACATGCCATATGCACGCACATGCACACACTCTCCTCTTCCCTTGCGCAGGTGGGGAGTGAGCTTCTGAATAAATGCAAATGTCACTTGATGGTCTGAACGGATCCAACAAGGCAGAAGCGGATCGTTCTGGCTAAACAAAAGAAGATCAAATCAGCTGGACAACACTAGAAACAAGAGCTTCCCCAAACCCCACCACATAAAATTATAATGCTGCCCAAAACTGCCAAGGAAGAGTGGCTTCCCTTTTGCTCTGTACAGAAAATAAAACAGCACCACGCCATAGATCGGGGTTGGCACAGGAGCCCAAGAGGATCCTGGGAGAAAGCAGATACGCCAGAAAGCATCTGGTAGACCTCAGATAAAATAACTGGCAAACAAAAATGGAAAATACAAACACCGCAAGGTACATTTGTCCAGAGGTGGTGAATTCAGCAGGTTCTGACCAGTTCTGGAGAACCAGTAGCGGAAATTTTGAGGAGTTCGGAGAACCGGCAAATCCCACCTCTGACTGGCCCTGCCAACCCCATCTCTTCTCTTCCTCCCATTGAGTCCCAGCTGATCGTCTGGGTCTTCTTTGGTTGCCCTGCACAGGAGAATGGAGGTGAAAAGCAGGTTGGTGGGGTGGGGAGGGAATGCGGATTTTGCAGTAACCTTCCCTTGCCACGCCCACTGTAGAGTTGTAATTGCAGGAATGTTCCAATCTCGGATGGCAAACCTCAGATAAAGAATGTTTCCAAGCAAATACAACTCAGGCAAACAAAGTCACTAATCTAAAGGAGGATTAGAGAGAGGAAGTAAACATATGTTAGAGTTTAACTAGAGATAATTAATTGTATGGATTACTGTGGTAAACAGTAACGAAAGTTAAGCAGTAACCAAAGTTGACCAGGGATGGAGGATAACTAAAAATGTGTATAAATGCAAGACTAGACTCCAATAAAGATCATCATGATTCAGTTGTTCATGATCAAACAACTCAACTGCCTCGTCATTACAACAGCCATGCCCACAAATCCAAGCCACGCCCACCAAGCCACCAAGCCATGCCCAGAGAATGCCACACTCCTCAAGCCACACTCACAGCTGATCATCTGGTTTCCTTTGGTTGCCCTGCACAGGAGATCGGAGCTGGAAAGCAGGGTAGTGGGGTGGGGAGGGGAGGGGGATTTTGTAGTATATCCACCCCCTGCTTTCCAGCCCTCTCAAAGCGGTTTACAGAGTCAGCCTCTTGCCCCCCCCCCCCCAACAATCTGGCTCCTCATTTTACCCACCTTGGAAGGATGGAAGGATGAGTCAACTTTAAGCCTGGTGAGATTCGAACTGCCAAATTGCACTCAGCCTGCAATACTGCACTCTAACCACTGCACCACCGGGGGTCTTATTCTTAGATGAAGAAATTTGATTAAGAAAACACTAGGTGAGGAGGCGTCTTCAACAACCTTTTATGCAGAGGCACAAACTGTTTATGTAAGCCCAGGTGAACAACCTCCTCAACATTAGCCTCCTCTTCAAAGTTGGAAAGTTCTGAATCCCACCTAAACCTGCCGGAGGTGGGAGAAAAGGTCAGCTGGAGAGGTGGAGGTTCTCTGAGGAAGCTAGAAAGGACAGAAAGGAAGAACTTGTTTTTTCTAAACAGTTTGCCCCCACCGTGACAAGCACGTTATGATGGGCCACCCACCCCAATGGCAGCTATTTTGGGAGAAGACCCACAGCATGCTCTCAAAGTATCAAGAGCTAAGAGTTGTGGAAAGCTCTGGCGATACGTTTATGGGTGCATTTAGTGGGTGTTTCTTCACCAGGATCTCCAAACAGCATCCGGATAGTGGGGAATGATGAAGGATCTAGTCTACCTTCAGCTATGGAAACTTC